AGCACCTCCGGCAGCACCAGCGCCAACAGCACCTCCAGCAGCAGGACCTCCAGTAGCACCAGCAGCACCCGCAGCACGACCACCACCAGGACTGACAGTAGTAGTCTCAAAACCAGCACCCTCAGCAGCTCCAGCTCCAGGCGGACCCGCAGGCCCAGCAGCTCCGGGACCGGCGGCACCAGCACCCTCAGCGGTTGAAGAAGCGCCAGCTCCTGCCGTACGCCTCTAGCGGCGAGCAAACCACTCATACAGCTCCTGTGGAGAGAGTGGCTCCCGCCGAGACGAAACACCTAGAGAACCTCCAGGCCCAGCACCGCCAGACGCCACAAGGGGAGGTCCAGTGGCCGCAGGCTCCACACCTCCAGGCTCAGCAGCTCCAGACGCAGCACCCCCAGGCTCAGCACCCCCGCGCGCAGCACCCCCAGAGGCAGCACCTCCAGGGTCAGCACCCCCAGGCTCAAGACCCCTAGGCTCAGCACCCCCAGACCTAGCACCCCCAAGCTCAGCACCCCCAAACTCAGCACCCCGAGAGTCAGCACCCCCAGGCTCAGCACCCCCAGACTCAGCACCCACAGAGTCAGCACCCCCAGGCGCAGCACCCCCAGGCTCAGCACCCCCAGCAGTACCTGAGTCACCAGCAATCTCGACCGGCTCGACTGCATCGACCTGGGACACACCTGAAGGGGCAGGACCCTGAGGGGGAAGGGGGTCTACCGGGGGGGGACCTGGCACAAGGAAGTGCGGTGGCGGGGGGAGGGAAGGAGTGCGGTAGGGGAAGAGGCGGTAGAAGGGCACGGACTCGTCGAACGTGACGTCCTGGGAGAACAAAACACGACGAGAGGAGGGGTGGTAGAACTACCACCCTGGGGCGTCAGGGGGGAAGCCTAGGAAGACACAGGGAGCAGCACGAGGGGACAGCTTGTCCGCAGACAAGTCGCGGACAAACGCTCAAGATCCCCAGACACGGAACGCAGACGCATCGCCGACCTTCCCCGTCCACAGCAGAGCTGGGGAGGTCTCCGGCCGAGAGACCCTGGGGTGAAGGTTGAGCTGATGCGCCGCGTATTGAACCGCAAACGGCCACAGAAAATGGGGGGCAGCCGCATGCATCATGGACGTACGAGCGACGTCCATGACCATGCCAATGCGGCGCTCAGCAATCCCATTCTGCTGTGGATTGTTCGGAAGCGTGAAGGTCTGGCGGATGCCTCGTGCACGACAGTAGGCTCGCAGAAGGCCAAAGGAGAACTCTCCGCCTCGGTCAGAGTGCAGACCCAGAACAGGAAAATCCGAGCCGAAGCTCCTCCTGAGCTGGAGACGAGCTGCGCGGATCTAGTCGATCAGCACCCCAGTGACATCACCCTTGCTGCGCAAGGGGAAGACCGTGGTGTAACGTGAGTAGTCGTCAACCACCAGCAGGAAGTAGCGCTCGTGACCCTGTCCACGGACGCGGGCCGGGCCCCACACGTCCATGTGAAGTGTCTGCAGAGGAGCCTCTGTCGGGGGAAACTGGGAGGAGTGAGGGGCAGCCCGGAGCCGCCCCTCAACACAGGGGACACAGGAAGGTCCTGGCCCCGAAGGAAGGGGAGGGAGAGACCGGGGGAGACCAGAGACAAGGACACGGGAAGCCATGCCCCGAAGACGAGGCAAGGAGGGGTGGCCAAGACAGTGGTGCCACAAGAGAGTCTCGTGAGACAGGAGGCGACACGAGCAGGGGGCAGACTCAGGACCAGACCTGGACGCAGCAGCAAACACCTGACCCGACGCAGCTACCTAGCCAGACGCAGGGACTCGAGGAGACTCAATGGTCAGGGTGTAGAGACTCGACCCGGGCCGACGCGAAAACGTGGCTAGGTGTCGGCCTGTGCGGGCGTCCGAGGAGTGGGTTCCCCGCTGACTCGCAGGAGTAAACTGGTGAACCCCCGCATCCTGTAGGTCAGCACCACTCACCAAGTTCGTCGAGAACGAGGGGAGGTACAGACCCGACAGGGTGCCCGAGGGGGCAGCCGAACACGGGAGGACAGTGGAGAAGTGAGCGAGGACAGGACCCCCAGAGGGGTCAGCCAGGGAGACTGCAACCGGCCAACTAAGCGGCGTGAGTGTGGTGCGGTCTCGAAAGAAGGAGCGAGAAGCCCCTGAGTCAAGTGTGAAGGTGAGGGAGGCCGAAGCCGACGCAGTACTTGAGAGCGCAGCCTCACCAGTACCTGAGAGTGTAGACGCACTGGCACCTAGAGCAGCACCCTCACAAGCACCTAGCGCAGCAGTACCAATGCCCGGGTCGGGCGGGAAACACCGGTAACAGTCACCCTCATCACTAATAGTCACAGCATACATGGCAGCAAGGATAGCATCAAAGTCAAGATCAAAGATCGCGTAGGTAAGGGCGGCAGGGCCGCGACGTAAGGGCGGCGGGGCCGCAACTTGAGGGCGGCGGGGCCGCGACGTGAGGGCGGCAAGGCCGCGACGTGAGGGTGGCGGGGCCGCGACGTGAGGGCGGCGGGGCCGCGACGTGAGGGCGGCGGGGCCGCGACGTGAGGGCGGCGGGGCCGCGACGTGAGGGCGGCGGGGCCTTATAGGTAAGAGCGGCGGGGCCGCGTAGGTAAGGGCGGCGGAGCCGCGTAGGTAAGGGCGGCGTAACGGGCCGCTAGGGGCGACACGGAGGGTCGCTAAAAAAAAAGGAACGCGTGCCTCGGGGCGCGCTTCGGTGGGCCCTGGGAACAGTCCCTAGGAGGGGACCTGCTCTGATTCCATGTGAAAGAGTGAACGCGAATGAATGAACTATGAATGAAGTGGGTACAAGTACTAACCCTAATTGGGTTGTACCCCCTATGGGATACCCCACTATAGCCTACACAAAAGCATAAGCTATAATGTTCTGACACTTGGCACGGACGTCCTTGAGGACAGGCAGGAGGACCTTGAGTGTGTTTCAGCCGCTGCGCCTCATCTCGTGTCCATGCTGCTTGCCCCTGAGGGAGACCCGTATGCTCCAAACATCCCGACCCCGCGCTCTTACACTGAGGCGATCGCAGTTGAGTACTCCTCTCAGTTGCAGACACCTTTGGACGCAGCGATGGCATCCTGGAAGTCCACAGGCACCTACGTCGACGAGGTTCCCCCTCTTGGGGCGAACATCGTCGACGACATGTGGATTTTCAGGGTGAAGCGGCCGCCGGGTTCTCCGCTTGTCTTCAAGGCTCGTTACGTTGCTCGAGGCTTCAGTCAGCGGGAGGGAGTTGACTTCTTCCAGACTTTCTCCCCCACCCCGAAGATGACTACTCTTCGGGTGCTGCTACACGTTGCCGCTCAGCGTGACTACGAGCTTCACTCTCTTGACTTCAGCACAGCTTTCTTAGACGGCAGCCTGCACGAGGAGATCTGGCTGCGCCGCCCGCATGGCTTCACTGGGTCGTTCCCTCCTGGTACCCTATGGAGCCTCCGGCGGCCGGTCTACGGTCTCCGCGTGGCGCCACGTGAGTGGCACGACACACAGAGGACGACACTTGCGGCTCTTGGGTTCGCGCCTTCTACTGCTGACCCATCGCTGTTACTGCGCACCGACACTTCGCTGCCACCGTTCTACATCCTCGTGTACGTCGACGACTTGGTCTTTGCCACTGCCGACACTGAGGCTCTCGCCTTGGTGAAGTCGGAGCTGCAGAAGAGATACACGTGCACAGACCTGGGTGAGCTGCGCAGCTACCTTGGCTTGCAGATCACCCGGGACAGAGCACGCCGCACCATCACACTGACTCCATCACACATGGTGCAGCAGGTCCTTCAGCGCTTCGGCTTCACATGGTCCTCGCCAAAGCACACTCCTCTGGCTACAGGTCACTCGCTCTCAGCTCCACCTTCGGACGAGTCCGTAGAGCCGAGTGGTCCTTACCCAGAGCTAGTGGGCTGCCTCATGTACCTGATGACCTGCACTAGTCCTGACCTTGCGTACCCTCTTGGCCTTCTCGCTCGCTACGTGGCTCCTGGTAGGTACCGACCGGAGCACATGGCTGCTGCTAAGAGGGTACGGCGCTACTTGTGCAGTACATCGGGCATGGGGCTCGTGCTTGGAGGGCGGAGCCCAGTTGTCCTCACTGGGCACTTGGACGCTTCTTGGGTTGACGACCTGGCTACACAGCGGTCGTCACAGGGTTACACCTTCAGCCTTGGCTCTGGCTCTGTTTCTTGGCGGTCTACACGCTCGTCTTCTGCTCTCGGCTTCAGTTGTGAGGCTGAGATCTACGCCACAGCCATGGCTGCACAGGAGCTACGCTGGCTCACCTACCTACTGACTGACTTGGGAGAGCGGCCTCGTTCTCCTCCAGTGCTGTACGTAGACAACAAGGCCGCCATTGCCTTGTGTCACGAGCATAGACTGGAGCACAGAATGAAGCACACCGCTCTGCGTTACTTCCTCGCTCGAGAGTTGCAGCAGCGAGGTCAGCTTCGTCTTGCTCACGTGGCCACTCGGGCCAACACTGCTGATATATTCACCAAGGCACTTCCGTCTGGTGATCATCAGCGTTTCTATACTTTGTTAGGCTTGGTGCCTACGTTTCCTCACTTGCTGTAGACCTTGTTTGTACTGTGATGTATATATATACCTGCTTGCTTGCTTTGCTAGATAGAGATCACTGTGATGCTGTTGTAGCATATATACCTCTGCATGTGAGCTGGCCTTGTGGCCCTTTGCTTGTGCTCAGTGTGTGTGGTGACGTTGTGATCCACCCTGAGCTTGTTTTGCTTCTCTTGACTGGTCTTGTGACCCCTTGCTCTCCCCCACTTTGCCCATGGGGGTGTGTCAAACTATGATAATGCTTGTGCTATGTAAGCTGTAGTGGGGTAGCCCATAAGGGGTACAACCCAAATTAGGGTTAGCATATGTACCCACATCTCTATCAAGGCACTCATTCCTGCTACTAGATTCTAACACAATTAGCACCACCACCTCCTTGTGAAATGTGCTGCTGCTTATTAGATAATAGCAACCAACGGGAAGCTGCTCACGAGATGGTTTGAACAGCAATCACCGACCGCACAGCATGCCCCTGCTTGTCCTTCCACGTTATGCTCCCAAACGAGAAACTGTTGGTTACCTTTTTAGGTGTGATCGTCACCTTATAGGTCACCGACCCGCCCTGTGGTATACTGAACTCACTAGGCCGTACTGACACCGAGGCAGTACTAGGCGGCACCACCGTTGCTCGATATGTCGACATGGAATTCCCCACATTTGTCACTGTCCTTACCACCGTAACCGTTTTCTTCAACCGCGACACTGAAATCGAAGCCCTGTTAAGGTTGTACGCTGGAATCGGGCTCAGATTCCCAAGACTGGAAAACAGCCCTGCTGCTTTCCCCGCATCCTGCCCGGCCAGAAAATTCGCAAAATCCCTGTTCCCTGCATTATAAGTCAACCCCGGATCCAGCACCTTCCTAGGGTTGATGTGCCCAGCGCCCATGTCCCACGGCGAAGCAAAACTCCCTGTCTCTCCTGCTGGTATCGGCCCGCCCTGGTTCGTCCTCAGCGTCGCAGTCGACATCATTGCTGAAATCACCTGAGCAGGTGTCCAGTCAGGGTGTTTCTGCAGCATCAGCAGGGCGATCCCAGCCATCTGCGGAGTAGCCATGGACGTCCCAGACAGCAACCCAAAGTTATTCGGATCTGAAGTCGGGAACTGCGCGCGCCACGGGCCCCAGAGGTTAACTCCCGGGCCCACCACATCGGGCTTTAAGATGTCGTTCGTGGCGATCCCAGGGCTGGGAGGCAGCGCGGGGTTGGTGACGGGTCCCCTGGAGGAGAAGTCTGCAATGATGGGCGCAAGGAAATTGTCCACTCCGTATGGTGCAGACAGACGGGCTGTGGCCCTGTGAAAACGGGGGGGCGGGGATGCAGGAGGGACAACTTTTGAGTCGACTCGAAAGTAGCAATTATGGGAGCGAGGAAATCGTCCACTCCATGCGGCGCAGACAGGCGGACCGTGGCCCTGCGAAGAGGAGAGTGAGTCAGGGGAGGGGGGGGGATCAGGATGAGCCTTGTGGTGAGTGAGCAGGAGAGGGATGGTGTAGGCTGGAACGAGGAGATGGTTGAAGGGGGGACGGAAGCGACAGGATGGGTCGCAACAAGAGGGTCACACGCCATGTGAAACCGGAAAATGAGTGGATGGCAGAGAAGATACAACACCCTCGTTGCTAGCAGCAGGAATAGCAGCGGACAGGAACACCGTGTTGTTCACCCCACCCGCACACCCACAACCCACATCGCCCCACAGCCATTTACCTGCCCATGGATATGTATTTCAGCAGCGCCTCCGACGCCGTCGCGTTGAGATGAATCACCGGGATAGCCGCGCGCAGGAATACCGTGTTGTTCACCCCACCCGCCACGTTCGCGATCACCAGCGCTGCTGCGCCCGCGGCTGTGGCCGCCTGCAGCTTGTCCCCCAGCGTGTTCTCGCCCCGCGCGCACACCAGTATCTTTCCCGCCACCTTGGAGGCTGTGAGCGAAGTCGAGTAGCACAGGCGCGCCTGGGGGTTGGGGGGAGGGAGGGAGGATGAAATGGGAGGGGCATGAGAGCGTGTTCTCCCCCCGCGCGCACACCAGGATCTTGCCCGCCACCTTGGGCGGCGTCAGCAACGTGGAGTAGCACAGGCGCGCCTGCAGGTTGCAGAGAGGGAGGACACGGGGAGGAACGGATGGACTTTCGAGTCGACTCAAACGTCCGCCACCTTGGAGGGCGTCAGCGACGTGGAGTAGCACAGGCGCGCCTGCAGGTGCGGGGGGGGAGAAGACGGGTCAGGAAAGCCTTCTCCGGGTCCTCCCACAAGCTATGCTGCGTAGCAAAGGTGAGCTCGGAGCAGGGCAGGGAGGCAGGGCAGGGCAGGGCAGGGCAGGGCAGGGCAGGGCAGGGGAGCCAGCACACAACAGCCGTGAGGCTGGACAAAGTAGCACTGAACAAGGGAAGTAGCACGCTCGTACCTTGGTGGCGCTGGCAAAGGGCTTGACGGCGGAAGAGCCGTCAACGAGCGTCATCTGCTTGTTGGTGCCGCCCCAACTGAGCCCCCGCAGCTGCACCCCGTTCCCCAGCGTCAGCGTTGCCATGTACCGCCGGTCTGTGCCGCTGAGGCGGAGGAACAGGGGGAGAGGGGGGAAGGGTGGGGTAGAAGGGGAGAAGGGGAGAAGGGGAGAAGGGGAGAAGGGGTGAAGGGGAGAAGGGGAGAAGGGGAGAAGGGGAGAAGGGGTGAAGGGGAGAAGGGGAGAAGGGGAGAAGGGGAGAAGAGGTGGGGAAGGGAAGAAGACGGAAGGCGGTGAGGATGGGGACATGGGGGCAATGCGGTGAGAGACAGAACAAAAGGACACTTCAGGATGGTATAGGGCGGGTGGGAGGAAAGTAATGGATACGGTGCAGACCAGAGCAGAGGGAGGATGTGGGTAAGCAAGACGGGGAGAAGAAGGGGAAGGAGGAGTACCGCACCTGGCGCCGACGGTGAGGTAGAAGGGCGAGTAGTTGTCGATCGTCGCGAACACGGACGGCGACAGCGGCGGCATGCCCTGGTTGCCCGCCGCCAGCGCCGCAAACACCCCCGCCTGCAGGGTTTGCGGAGAGAGACGATGCGCGGGGGAGTACGGATGACGGCAGTGAAATGAGAAACGATAGTGAGGCGCTTTCGACACTCCCATCGATGTAGATTTTGAGCATGGATGTGCACTGGCCTATCTCGGGAAACGCGAGACTGTAGTGTGCGCGGTTCGGGTACAGTGATCGAAGCGCTTAGCGACGTTTCCCATGATCTTTCCTCGCCTCGCCGCACCTTAGCCGCCGTCACGAACGTGACGTCATCAAAGTAGCTCCCGAGCCCGCCGCCCACGGAGATGGAGACCACATCCACGCCGTCCGATACGGCCTGATCGACGGCTGCGTACACGTCACTCATGGCGCCCGAGGCGCCCTCGTACCCCACCAGCTTCCACATCGCCTTGTACATCGCGATGCGCGCGCGCGGCGCGATCCCCGACGCGGCCCCGTACGAGGTTCCGCCGATGCGCACCTGGATTCCCGCGTTGCCCGCTGCGGCGCTGCACGGGTGAGGGCGGGGGGGAGGGGGGAAAGCGGGAGACGAGAAGGGGAGGGGAAGACGGGCGGTAAGAGCAGGAAAGAGGCGGGAGAGGAGTCGCGGAAATGCGAATGAGAACTCTCACAAGGCATGTGCACCAGCCCCTACGCACGCAGGGACGGCGACAGGGCAGGGTGGCAGCAACACGCAGAGCACACCAGCAGTAACCAGAGCACCCGCCATAGCCAGAGTACCAGCCACACAATGGTAGCAAGGAGCACCAGGAGCCATACGAGCCCACCCGCCATAACCAGAGACCACCCGCCGTACCCGGAGCACCAGGAGCCATGGCCGTTGTTGTCGCGCGGCGACGCGTAATCCGCGGAGAAGTCGATGGGCACGTCCGCCGTCTTGAGCCCCGCGCTGTACGTGCGCGCGCCGATCACCTTGCGGTTGCACGCGCCGTTGAAGTCACTCGTATTCATGCACAGCCCCGACCACCGCGCGGGGATCGGCCCGTAGCCCTGCGGAGCGACAGAGGAGCGGGGAAGCGGCGGAACGGGAGAACGGGAAGAAAATAAGCACAGCAGCAGCTGCGAAATCTGTAGAATAAACGCCTCCTTACCACACTACATCCTTGTTTCAGTTCGGTACTCACACGCTACTCACACGGTTCAGTTCGGCACGTACCGCGTCGTCGAACGAAGGGTGCTCCGGCCAGATCCCCGAGTCCACCACGCCGATAATCATCCCCTCGCCCGCCTTCTTCTGCCCGCCATTGCTGCCCCAGAGCGTCGCGGGCAGCTCCAGAAACGTCGGCACATGCACTGTCCGCTGCTGCACCAGCCTATCCGGTCGCACCATCGCGACCGCCGCGTGTCGCCGGAGCTTGTGGACCTGCTTCGGCGTCAACCGCGCTCCGAACGCGTTCATCGTGTACGTGTAGCTCCGGAAAATGCGGGAGAGTGGGAGCTTGACGGACTCTGCCACGTCACGGTGCAGCCTTGTCAGAAGGTCCCCGAAGGCCTTCACGCTGCCGAGCCGCACATCGGCGCGCAGTCGGCTGCGCAGGCGCTGCCTCACTCGCCGCATCGCGGCCCCCCCCCCGTAGTTTCGATTTGCTCTTGCTGCTGCTGCTGCTGCTGCTGCTGCTGCTGCTAGCGCCGGCGACAGTGACAGCGTTTCCCGTGACGCTGCTAGGCGACACAAGGAGGCTGGACGGCTTTAACGACGTCATGTCAAAAACTGACGAGTCGATTCGAGGGGATGAGGGTGACGGCGAGAAGGACGAGGAGGAAGGGGTGGAGGGGGTGACGGAGGGCGAAGTAGCCGGGTAGCCGGCAATTCCGCCGTTGTAATTGAGAACGGCTGGCAGCGCGCGGAGGTAGACGATGTACGACGAGGCGATGGCGTCGCTGTACTTGCGCTCGAGGGACGCGGAGGCGGAGGCGGAGGCGGATGGGGAAGCGGAGGCGGAGGAAGAGGAAGAGGAATTGGATGGGGGGGAGGTTGGTGCGGACGAGGAGGACGAGGAAATCAGCGACGACGAGGAGTCGTCGGGGGAAGTCAGTCCGTCAGTGCTCAGTCCGCCCGTGTCGTTTAATGAAGTTTCTGAATTGACTCCGTCGCCTGCCCCATCGCTACCGCCACCGCCATTACCACCGTCACCGGCATTACCACCATCACCGCCATTACTGCCATCACCGCCAGCCCCATCTCCCGCGCCACTTGTCCCGTCGACTTGCGCCTTGCCGTCACTTCCGCCGCCACTCCCGGCGTCACCGGCGTCAGTCCCGACGTCAATCCCAGAGTCAGTAACATTATTCCCTGCACCACCGCCTTTCTGGTCAGAGTCTAAACTCGTCCCAGCCTCTTTCGCCGTCGCATTCTGTTCCGGCAACAACGACTCGTCTGCCTTTGGAGATACAACCGGAGCTGAGGCAGCTTGAGATGAGTTCTCTGCTGCGGCGCGTTGAAACAGAGCCGAGACGAGGAGAGAGACGAAAACGAGGAGGCAAAGAGCGCGGATTCTCGATTGCGGTGGCAGCAGCCGTCTGTGGGCTTGACGTTTGGAGCCTTGAATGGCCATGCCGCGACGCGAGTGCGAGGAGGGACAGAAGTTGATGACTACGAACGCGAGAGTGCGCTGTGAGCGTTATTCAAGCGCCTTAAAGGTACTGGATGCGAGCTAAGCGAGTCATAGTGTATAAAGTGGTAGGTGTGTTATTGCGGACTGAGCGGATTGGCTGGTGCCGGGGGGGAGGGGGGGACAAGTTAAGCGTCGATCGGATTGTCAAATTCGAGAGTGTTCTAGAGCAAAACGAAGGAGTAGGGTTCGGGTGATCCGGATTTGTGTAAAGTTAACGGAAACGAAGTATGGGCGTACTTCGGCAGTAGTTTTACGCAAATGGCGCGATCGTTGATTGTCGTAGTATAAGGCTGTCAGGCCTAGCGGAATTCAAAGTATCGAGAATAACAGCTAGCCGACTACAAGCACAGGCCGACACTCAGGAGAAGGAACTCTCCACTTGACAGCAACAAAAAATAAAGAGAGCCAAGGAAATGGAATTTCACGGAGGTGGGAAAACCGAGCACGAGACCTCAGCTCGCGTTTGCGAGGGTCGCTCAGTGGTCGGCTAGTGGAGAAAAACACCAGGCTGAATACCTGACTTCAGCGAGATGTACGAGACAAGGAATATTGACAGACACACATCCGTCGGCCATGCAACAGGAGACAGTCAATGGAGGAGCTTCGTTGATGGGGGGGGACGCAAATGCGTAGGGTGGAAGGGAGGGGAGGGGAGGGGAGAGCCAGGAAGTTGTCGTGTTCGCCAAGCAGCAGCGCTTTCAGAAAACAATGCTTTTCCAATCCGACGGTTGAGGGAGGAGATGGAGAGGAGCAAGGATTGATCCGTACGTACATCGGGATTTGCAGCAGAACTGGCAGGACGACCCTCATGACCGACAAAATGTTTTGCGCCATGTGCGGTGCGGCTGGAGGTGGTGGCGGACGAATGCAGAGGGGGATCGGGTCGCGATAGCGGATCGCGGGAGCGACGCGTACTTGCTCCTGCTCAGAGTACAACCGCCCAGCCTGACAACGTTCCAGCGAGCATTTGCCGCCGAATCAGAAACAAATATGTTGTTCAGCGAGGTAATAACTTCAAAAAAAAGCGCTACAGCAAAAAAAAAAAAAACAAAAAACAAAAAAAACAAGAGGCGACAAGGTCGTCCTAGGGTTGCGAAGCTTTTTGCGTAACTAACATTATACGGATCTAACAACTAGTATGGATCTCCTTTCTAATGATTGCTCTACTTTCTATACCGAGTACATGTTTCTTGTTGATAGTAGCAAAATTGACAACGTGAGGGTCGAAACCATGACCTCTCGAATAGAAACAATCTCCTATCGACTACGCCATCACAGATGACTTAATGTTCAAACAAATAATATATTTATCAAAAAAAAAGCGAGGAAATGCTTACTTGCATTAGGGATTGTGTTCTTTTTTTCTCTCGCTGGTCACGCTGAGCACCCCACGTACCAGAGGAAGGTGAGAAGCATAAGTGCCTAAGCTCCCCCCTAACTACTCCCTATGCTCAACTGCAACGAAGTTAGATGAGTCTTAGATAGACAAGCGTAGTAATCTCATACCTAACTGTGTAAAAATATGACTTATTAGCTAGACTAAGATGTTTAAGCTTAGGGCCCTTTGTAAAGACTTCGTAACTTTCTTGTATTTTTTTGGTTTCGTTTCTTCGTGCATAATCTGCCATCCGTTTCCTCTATCCACCGTCCTTACTTTTCCTTTTCGTCGGTTGCGTTTTTACCACCTCGTATTTTCATGTTTTCGTTCTTTTTTTTCTCACACTCAGTTTAGAGCAGTCTTATCCAGAAACTGACGTGTTGTCGTTTCGTAAGGCCTAATTTTTATGTCGGTGCGTTGATTATCTTTAATGCATCTTATTGTTTTCCTTCACATATGTGTTCACCTCTCTTCCCTCCCTTCCCTCTTCTCCTTTATCTCCTTTTTACCGTTCTCTCTCGATTCTCCCTCCCTTCTTCTCTCTCTTCTTCATTTCCCCTTCTTTATCCTCTCACTACCGTCGTTTTGCTGGTGCAAGTCGCGCTGGTGTGTTTTTGCTGGTGCCAGGCGCGCACCACGCTCAGCGTCATGCGCATTATCCGCGTCGGCAGCAGCAAAGAAGGGCACGAGCATGTCGGCAGAACTTGGTGAGTTCAAACTGTGAAAAGGAGTGAGAGGGTAGTCATGTGCGACAATACTATGTGATAAAGAATACCGGAGAGGCACAGATTGAGAGGGAGAGTGTGTGCGTATGAGGAAGAGAGTGCGAGGAGAAGAGAGCATGAGGAGAGTTGAGAAGAATGTGAAGGAGAGTATGAGTGCAAAATTAGTAGATGAAATCGACATTCTAACCTCTTCTCCTTTCCTTACCGACTTTGTTTCAATGAGAGAGCAAGGAAGAGATAGAGTGATTCTTTTTGTTTCATATTAGATCCTTTCCCCCTTTTGCCTTTTGCATGATATACTTCGTTCTTCCGTGTATGTTACTTTGTTTTTTCTGCTCTCCTTATCTTCCTCCTAACATTCTGTTCAACGTTTTTCCCATGGGGACCATTTCGAGGTAGCTTGCTAGGCGAATTAGGGTATGAGGTCAATTCGTCCTAGTTTGGTCTGTTGTCGTTTCTTTTGCTTCAATTTCTTGTGCCTATGTTATCCGTTTTTTTCTTCAATTTCCTTTCTTGTTTCTGGTTATTCCTGCATCTCGTCATTTCATCACACCTCATTTCCTTTTCTGTTTTTTTTTTTGTACCGACTATTTCTTTCGTTCCTCCTTTCTACATTCTAAACCCGTTTCTCAGGAGTCTTGCTGCTCAGGAAGGGGATTTGAATCTGGAAAATGTGTATCGGTCACTTTCAGGATTTATCTTGTCATATTGTCCATTTAATGTTGATTTGCATGTTATCTATTATCGCGTGTTTTGGCTGGGTTTGCTGTTGTTTGTGCTTTTGATTGTGTGAATGTGTTTGATTGTGAGAGCATTCATCTCATTGATCATTGCAATATTAATGCATGTCTATCAATTTTAAAAAAATGGGTTCATTTCTATCATTTCTCATTGGTTCATTGGCGCACTCAGTGACTCGTGTGTTTGCCACTTCGAACTGGATTTGATAGTGTGAACCTCTTTTTTAGAGTTAACAGATTGCATTTTTTTATGTGTTGGTTTATTATTCAAAGACTTTGCTATTGACTTCCCCCCCATGCTAGGCAGGGGATGCGGTAGCCTAGTTTTTGGGTCGTTAACTATCACGCATTTGTATGACACCCCGTACCGTATGTTGCATTTCAGCATTTCGCTTCATGGAAAAGCATTTTCATCCATGTATCATTATTATGCATCTATATATCTTGCCGCATTACATTCATTTAGGCATGCGTGGTATGTACTTCATTACTCATATTCGTAACATTTTTTACATGCAATTATCACAACGGCAAGCAATAAAACATAAAACGCAAACAGTATAGCATATAGGCAAAAAACTAATATAATAATAAAAAAGAAATTAATATATGCACAATGGGAATGCTGTTACTGTAGCTTACGAATTTTATTTTCATGTTACGGTAAATAAAAAACATGAAAAGAAAATTTGTCAAAATCGATTGTAAAGGGTTGCTTCGCAACCCAAAAAAACCTCTAGTGTTTCTGGATGTCACATCAACCCACCCAACATAAAGGGCGTGTGAGGTCTTTGAAATTTGTATAAGTTTATGTTTTTAGGGCGAATTTTAGTTTCGAACTTACAATGAAAGAAGTTTGAATTTCCTTCTATCGAAATTCGAACATCGGGCTTACCACACTGTAAAAAATCACACACACATACAAGGTCGAACCCCGACATTCGAACTTGTAAAAACGAGCCGAGCCGCACATCAACATCATAGGTTACCCGGTTCGAGAGTCTTGACAGTGCGCCACGTCAACATTTTGCGCCTCGGTTTACAAAGACCTAGAGCTCCAACTCACCTTCCGCGCCGAGTGTGTAACCAAGGTACAAATA